CTCCGAGGCTCGATAAGGTAAGGGAGTACTTCCTCTCCCTCTTCTTGAACTCCCACCTTCCTATCTCACCCCTCTCTCTGCCCTTTTGGCCACTCATCTACCTGCTGTTACCAGCTGCCCCCACTGCCCAGCCCTGCCTGCCACACCGCACGCCACTACTGTACCACCCAGGGCCTTCTTCATGCCGTCTTCTTTTGCACTGATGCTGCCAGGGCTTCTCTCACACCCCAGGCAGGGCCTCTGTTCATGCCCCAGCCAGGGCTTCCACTTGTGCACCAGCCAGGGCCTTCTTTTGTGAAAGAAGGACCTGGCTAGAAGGATCTTCCTTCGCGCTGGCACAGCTGGGCCTTCTTTCATGTGCCTGCCCTAAATGGAAGCCCTGGCTGTGGCATGAGAGAAGCCCTGGCAGCACCATCACAAAAGAAGGCAGCACGAAGGCCCTAGCCAGTACAGTAGTGGTGCACAGTGTGGTGGGCATGGCGGTGGTAGGCAGGGGTGGGCAGTGGGGGCAACTGGCAGCAGCAGGTAGGCGGTTGGCAAAAAGGGAGTCATAAATGTGGGTGGACCCAAGTGGGCCTGAATTTTATTCACGTGACCGCGAGGGTGCAATGGCTAGAACTTCAAGGACTTGTCGTAAGTTCCTTCATTCAGTGCTGTCATAATTTCGAACAATCGCCGAACGAATGGATGTTAAGCAAGGGCTATTTGTATTAAGTTACAGTAAGCTTGCTCTTTAAGGAATGCAATCTAAAATTCAAGAATCATTAATGTTCAGCCAGCATAAATTTCTCCACATGAGCTTGGGTGGGGATATAAAACATGTCCATCTCCCACCTCTTGCATTTACCCTGCAATATGTGAAACAATTGTACTTGTACTTACATACAAAAGTGCATATATGAATTCTGTGCATATGATTAACATCTCATAGAAGAGGAGTTGGATATTTGCTATTAGACATCTATTTTCAATGCATTCTATGGAGAATCTATGCAAGGCCACATCTCATCCCACCTCCCATTATATCCAAAGCCTATTAATGACAAGAAATTGGCCTTATCAGAAATAAATTTCAGTAAGACTGACTTCCAAGCTAACTATTTTGGGATGCTGTGCGGTTTGACAGCTCTGTGATTTAAAGTAATGCCTCCAAGGTATTCTGAAGGTGCTTTTTAATAAAAGTTACTGCTTTGTTACTGCTTAACGAGCAAGAATTTTGTAATTATATCAAATGGAAAAGGGGGAAAGACAAATGAAAAAAAGAAAAATGTTCCTACTGAACTTAAACGCCAATGAAATAAATTATTATGGTACAGCAGAAACAAAGCATACTTCATGAATGTTTTCCAAACAGAACCTACAGTGAATCAATAAGTTAAATAAAATATTGAAGGTAAAAAGGCCAAATAATTCAGAATTACTGAATTCTACTGCAGTTATTATATTCCCTCTAAACATTTTCCATAATTGTACAACCTTTAACTACCTGTTCAATTCTCCTAAGGAAAAAAAAAAATCATCATCAGTATTTGGTCATTCTGTGATCCTTTTCCACTTTCTTGTTCTTTGTTTTTCCTTCCCTGCTGTGATTGTAGACTGAAAAGTCTCCTTTGTCTGTTCTACTGTTTTCAGATAATGATCCCTTTAACTGATCAGCCATCTCATGCTTTTATCCCGCACCCAATCCTGTAGTCTTATGACTGACATGATATAATGGGGCCCAATCTTAGCTATATTAGAGGAATTTAGACTTCCACAAATTCAGCGATATTGGTAAAACTCTGGAGTTAGTTACTTTATCCATCCAGTGAAAAACACTGCTGCTTCTCTAAAGGAGAACATCAAATTTGGACTTTGTAAAATAAAATGTCAGGAACCATTCAGCTCACAAATACACTTATTAACCATGTTAGCCATTCTTGTTTTCCAGTCCCATTTCGTTTAACCTGATTTTGTTGCTCCTTTAAAATTCTTATGGTTCCTTGTTACCATAATCCTATAGTTTGATACATTGTTCTGTTATTACAGAACAAGTCTATTTCATCAGGATGAAAGGCATTATTCTCTCCACTAGCATTATAGTGCCTGTCAAAAGGCAGTTCTGAATAACATGCATACAATAAGTGGCAAAATGGCAAATCATAAGGAAGATAATAAAGTTGCAAAGATTCTTATGGTATAATAAAATGTCAGGTGCATTGTAGCATATGGTTTCATATATAAGACTCCAATTCTTCAAATGCATTTAGTAGAGTAAGCTCATTAATAGTTATGCCACATTAAATTTACCAGCTCTTCAGCTGCTATCCAAATTTCAACCAATAATGTAATTTTAAACAATTAAACTAGAAAAGTGATTAAGCTAAGAAACAAATAAATACTGCTTAGCACTCACTTTCCTTTCCTCCCCAACAGCAGTTAAAAATTCAAATGGCAAACAGCACTTAAATCCTCGCTAGATATAAAAATCTATCCCAAATATTGCAATCTGATGTCTTAATGATCAACCAAAATGTTTTTAACTAACGCATAGCTTAACAGCAGGCCTTTCAAAGGACAACATCCTATGATAATAAATTCACAATAAAGCTATTAAGCAGAGTAAATTTTAATCAAAATATTATTTTCTAAGCCTACGGAAAACAATACAACTATGACTCTACATAATCATTTTTTTTAAAAAAAAATCAAGATACAGTAGAAAACAAATTGCTTTTTGTTAAATCAAACTATTTTCCTATTATTTATTCCATAAATCAAGACTTAAAATAAAATACTTTTTAAAGAAAGTGAAAAATCAAGGATTAATTTTATACACCAATAAAATTTATCTCCCCACATTCTACAAAAATAGTGCTCAGAGTGACTAACAAAATATAGACAAAATTTTAAAATGTAAGTAAAATGTAAAAACATACATAAGTATGAGAAAACATAAAACAATCATTAAACTATTTTAAAATACTAAAATTGTTTTGTTTACTTAGATGCATCTTGTACAGCAATATATCTGGAGCCAAATCTATTTAGAAACAGGTGTCTGTGTGGCTGCAAGCTATTGTTTCCTCTATTCAGTGGGATGAATGTACACATCAGTGTTAATCAACTAATAAGAAACACAGCAGCCTTGGTTTGGTCTTCCACTTTTAATAGCTATTTGATGAACAAAATTCCAAAGGTGAAGTTTTTCATGAAAGAAAAGGTACTGGTAGCCTTGAAGCTCTGGAACTCCCTCCCTGCTTGAGAACAGATACCTGCTACCCATACTTTTATGAAAGACTTTTCTGGAAAACTAAATTCTTTCTCATTTTACTGGAATTCTGGAGATAAAAACAATACAGTGGGATTATTTTTATCTTTTTTTTCTCTTGTTTCCGTTAAATGACATGTTTATATTACAGGTTTTAATTGTTAATACGTATTTATTTATTATTCTGTATCACAAAAAGGCAGTGTAGTGCAGCAGTCAGAAATAGTGGATTAATTTGGAAGAGTTCCATAAACCAAAATCTTACCCAGCCATTCGGCTGAGCAGATGATCTAACTGGTCAATACCAGCATCCTAATCTCATCCACCAGTTCATTATGAAAATAAAAAAGAGGGGGGGGAATCTTGCAAATCCTCCTAAATTCATGGAGGCAGGCTAGGATAGAAAAGCAATCAGTCAATCAGTGGACCAAAACATTAGTGTTATAAACGTCTCTGGGAATCGGGGGGGGGGGGGGGGGGG